GACGTGTGTAGCTGCCTTTGGCCTTGATCACGTCTTTGATTCTCTCAGCCATGGTGGAGATCAGCTTGATACAGACCTCCACCTCGAGACCATTCCAGACATCTTGAAGTCGGTTCCAGAGATCTTCCTGACCTTGGATCGGTCCAGGCAAGCTTCGCAGACATGGATCTATCTATACAGGATGGTCCACAATTGTCTCCCCAAAAGTAAAAGCTTATTACTCAGGAAGTATGCATCCACTTTCAATTATATATGGTTCTCATGATAGCCAATTTAATATATTTTTTATTGTGGAAATGTTAAATATTTTCTATCAAACTGAAACAGAGTTACATCCTTATGAAAGCACCCAAATCACTAGTGTTCAATATGACTTCCATAATTTTCAATGACTTCGTGCAGTCTCTCTTTGAATGCCAACAGACTTCCTTCGATCATCTCAGATCCTTCTGGGGCGAAGGCGTCTCTAATGGCCTGTTTCAGCATATCTAAGTAGTCATAGGTCCCCCAATGAATCTCTTCAGGTTCAGAAACTTCTAATGAATTGCCTTCATGATCTTTTCATCAGGAACAGAGACATTTGGATCCAATCTGAAGAAACTTCCAATTTTTCCATGCACAAATATTGAATTGGCTATTGTTTAATTTATATATAATTGAAATCGGATGTATACTTCCTGAGTAATAAGCTTTTACTTTTGGGGAGACAATTGTGGACCATCCTGTAGATCCATGTCTGCGAAGCTTGCCTGGACCGATCCAAGGTCAGGAAGATCTCTGGAACCGACTTCAAGATGTCTGGAATGGTCTCAAGGTGGAGGTCTGTATCAAGCTGATCACCATGGCTGAGAGAATCAAAGACGTGATCAAGGCCAAAGGCAGCTACACACGTTGGTGAACANCACCATGGCTGAGAGAATCAAAGACGTGATCAAGGCCAAAGGCAGCTACACACGTTGGTGAACATCTGCTAGTGCCTATGGCATGTATTGAGATGCTCTGATTGAGATGAATAAACAAATTGTCGCTAATTGCGCTTCGTGGCCAAGTGCCAAAAGTGATGCAACATCGATCCGGACCTTTTTTGTGATTTGTCCTTAGTAGTAACCACAATGCCTGACAAATGTAACTGCAACTGTAGAGCACATTGAGCTCTATCTAAATGTACTGGCAAATGAAGACCGATCTTTTTTGCGCGCGGAAAAATTAGACTTTTGTGAAAATCGGCGGGTGTTGCATTACTTTTGTGGGCCACTGTATATAGAAATATGAATTAGGAACTTCTAGCAACATTTCTAAACATTACACTCGAGGCCCACATCAATTCTTGCGCAAAAGTCATATTTGGAAAGGGTTCGCATCCGTTAAGAAAAGTCACTGGACATACAAGGAATTCAGGGGTGCTACATCTATTAATAAAATGAAACGAAAATGTCCAAGTTGATTCATGCTAATAGGCATGGATAATTTTTATTGTGGCCGACTGGCATGCGCACAACATGAAGCAGTCAAGATTTCGAATTTCCGGCGCTTATTTTTTTGGATGGCAGAAAAAGCGAAATCGTCCACAAATAGGCGGCCGTCCACGAACAGGTCCCTTTACCTTAGTCGAGATACGACCTTTGCAGACGAAGCCGACGACTTAACAGGTATGCTTGTTGAATAGCCAAAATGCTCTTAGATGTACACCGGAAGTGCTACCGCTGCAACTTCCACCAATGTATGAGCCTTGTGTTGCTGCACTGCCATGCAGCAGCTGCAGTCCTGTTGCAAATGCGAACCTACCAATCAGTTTCTCTTTAAATCCAGAGGATGTGCTATATGGCATTAAGAATGGGACTGAATGTTAGCAAGAATTTCCGTGAATGTGTGTCATATATGGTTTGGCATTGCAGGTGTACCCTGGCATAATCCAATAAGAAAATTATTTCCAGATCGGGTCCGATCAAAGCAGAAAGCTCAGAAAGGAATACCTGAACCAGTCACGTAAGTTTTTCCTCGGGGAAGGTATGATGGAGCGAACCTTCTTCCGGAGAGATCGCTGCAACCATGGTAACATTCACACCCTTCCATGTATCAATTATAAAAAGCACATTACACCCTTTAGAGACCACCCCTTTAATTAACCGTTCTTTTAATTTTTATCTCACGCGCCTTCCCTCCTAGTTGATATTTCTTCCCCCCCCCCCCTCTTTTTCCTAGTGGTTAGCTCACTTTATTTCCCCTATATTCTGACCATTTTTCTTTTACTTTTTCGACTAGATTCTTCACTCCCCGAAGAAGGAGGCGTTATGCCTCCGAAACTTTGGATTTATTAGGTTGTTGCAAAAGTCCTGTCGGTGTTGAATGTAACATGTTCTAATAAGACTTCCAGGCTTTGACAATTCCTGGGGAGTGGGTGGTAGGTATGGATATATAAGGACAGTCTGTTGTATCTCACTCATCCCATCATCTCTCATGGCCTCTGAGAAATTCACGCCAACGCAGATCCATCTCCGTCACTGCATTCTCTTCCACTTCCACTCTCGCGTTGGAGCTACGGAAGCTCATCGCCGAGTGTGCGCAGTTTATGGCGGAGACGTCATAAGTCTTCGCACGGTAGAACGATGGTTTGCCAAATTCTCTTCTGGAGACTACGACGTTGAAGATAGACCGCGGTCCGGACGCCCGACGGAGTTGGATTCTGATGCCCTGAAAGCAGAGCTGGAGAGCAACAGCCAGCAGACCACACGCGGATCGGCAAGCANATCGACAGGCCATGGAAACCGGCCTCGCAGACTTCTTCGCCTCGAAGCCCAAGTCCTTCTACAGAGAAGGCATCCATGACCTGCCCAGAAGATGGACGAAGGTCATCTGCAACTATGGCGAATATGTGGTCGGTTAGGCCTCGCTTGTTGCAAAGCTCTAAAGTTGAGAAAATAAAGTTGTCAATACCGACAGGACTTTTGCAACAACCTAATACTTCTTTTTTAATATACTGACCGGTTGTGAGTGTCTCTGTGCTTCCGTCTCTTTTACTTTCATTCATTCACTGTATCCATGCGGATCCCAGTCGTGAGGAAGAAAACAGTTTTTTCCGTTTATATCGCAGACAACCCCATTGTTCGACATGGCCACAGGATAAGACTGGTTTCGTCAATAAAGACAAACTGCCTTTTCTGCCTCTCTGAAAAGAATCATGTTGCTTATTCTACTTTGACATCCAGGAGGTGGAGACGTCAACCTCCCTCTGACGAACATCCTCGAATGACATATTTAGGTCTCCGTGTACAAATGCCCTCAGAGCCACTTTCGAAATTTGAGGCTTTCGTGGCAGAGCCTGTTGGAATATCCATTTAATTCCTTCCACGAAGCGAATAGTTCATCGACCAATATCATTTCAATGGCGTTAGGCAACTCCATGTCGATTATTCTCTTCCGTTCACTCCCACCCTTTCTCTCATCCCACACCTGACATCTTACTGCATCTGAAACACACTCCACCATCTCCCAGTTGGCTCAAACACGATGCCAATACCGATACCATAATTATTCTACGTTGGGAGTTGATAAGCAGCTGTCTCTTCATTGACAGCTTTGTTATCCATTTCCCACCACACTGCTGTAAAAACGTATTCGTGCCCTAGCAAGAAGTGGAATGAGACAGGGTTGCAGGGAATGCGTGAGACCGGTGGCAAGTTGGCCCAGATAGCTTTGGGGCTCGGGATCAGTTCGGGTGAATGTCGTATTTCCTCACCTCCGCCGCTATTGTTTTTTTAAATTTAGAATGGTGCATTAAGTTACACGTTTTCCAGGGTTAGGTCGGTATCGCGTCAGAACATCGGAACGACAAATCATTGAAACGGCAAAAAATAAGGGAGAACATTTTCCCAAGCTAAGGAAATTCCCAACATTCAGGGGGTGAGTTTTATGTATAATTATTTTATACTGCAAGTCGAGATGTTGTGCTGCAAGGAGGGAAGGTTCTTCAGGGACCGCATCAGCAAAGGACTGTGGCCTCCCAGGTCACCTGACCTAACACCATTGGATTTCTTCCTTTGGGAGTATCCGAAGGAAAATGTGTACAGCGACAATTCGAGGGACCTTCCCTCCTTATAGCGTGCTGATAACATGGGCGGAAACTTTCAGCACCTCCTGTAGCATCATTGCACTTTTGATCTTCCAGTATCAAATATAAATATTATTTTCCGAAAATCGAAAATGCATCTGGAATAGATTGCATGCTTATTTGTGACTGCAATTTCTATACCATGCATTCAAAAATGGATTTTGTGTGCATTCAAAAAAAGTTACTACAGCTTCTAAACAAGACTAGCTTCGTCACTGTACCTTTCCTCATTCATTAATAATACATTTTTAGGTTCTGGGTCCCGTGACTTTTGGGACATCCTGTATTACATAAGCTCTTGGTCAATGTTTTGTTACAGAACTGGTTAGGCCTACCCTTAATCCAGGAGGTGAAATCCTTCGCTTATGCCATTCTGGAGTACTCTACAGGCCACCAGATGAGAGTCTGCCTTTTATTTTAATGTATCATCACTTTTTCTGAAAATAGGTCATGGAATCAATTATGCGCATATCGAAATCGTTTTTTTATTATTTTACCGGTTTAATGCATGTCAAATATCTGGAAGAGTTATCTATTGTTGCATCTATACTACTCTACTTCATTCCATATGCTCTTAGTTGCCATTGCGAATGATCGTTGTTTTCAGTTCAGTGAGCAAGTGCAACCTTCAGCCAGGAGAATGGAAGAGGAACTAATGAGCTTCACCGATAATACAGGAAGTTCATATTTCAAGTTAATTCGAAGAAATGCAAATAAAAAGAAGCACAGGGTGGACCAAAAAAACGCTACAAGTTTTAATTCTTCATAAAAATCGTTGCCGTATATGATATGAATGTGTTACAAGTTTTGTTTACCAGATAAATGATCAAAGTTTTTATTGTCCTGTACCAGGTAAAAATGTCACAACTGACAATTGCGGAGAGAGTATTCATAGTGGAAAAGTACGTGGAGCTGCAGTCAGTTACCAGTATTCCGCGTCAATTCAGAATGGCTCTACAGCTCACACATCTTGAGCTTGCAAGCAATGGTTGCAGGAGCATTTCCTCAACCGTGTCATCTCTCACAAATCTGACTTCCCATGGCCAGCCAGGTCACCAGATCTGTCCCCTCTGGATTATTTTCTCTCGGGCTATATGAAGAAGATCTTTGAAGAGAAACTTGCAACGATTCTTGACCTAAAGCAGGGGTTCTTAACCTTTTCGCACCTACGGATCCCCCAGATCCTCAAGTATTACCCATGGACCCGTTATCAGAAACCTTGGAACACCTGGATTTATAATTATACGTAAATGATGTTTTTTTGGGAGCTATTGATACATTCAATTATATATTAAATTTTCCATGGATCCTCCACGGACCCCAGGTTAAGAACCCCTGACCAAAAGGATGCAGTGACACGCGTCATTTCAGGTGTTACACGTGAAACTCTTTTTCATCAGAGTTCGCTCTTGTCTACAAAATGGAGGACAATTTGAACACACATTATAAGCACATGAAACTTGTGAGTTTTCTTATCATTTAAAAGCGTTCTTCTCATTTTTATCTTTATTAGAAACAAAATGTCACATTATCAAAACTTGTAACACTTTTTGGTCCACCCTGTATAATTCATATATATGAACATATTCTACAGGGTGACAAAAAATGTTTCATATTTCACTGCTCTGTTTTCATTATTTATTATGGTAGAAAATTAAATTAAATGTCATATGATAGATGAACACAAGAAGTTTTTTTTCTTAATCTTGAGAAACCTGCTCAAACTGTTCACCATTCCTTTGGATAATCTCTTTGCAACATAAAGCAGTTTTTTCAATAGCTTTGTCCATTGTCTTGTGTGTTATGCCTTTGAGTGCTGTAACTGCAGAACATTTGAGTCTATCAATGATATATGGCTTTGTGAAGAACACCTTTTCTTTAAGGAGAACCTGCTGGTCATGGGATATCCCCTCTCATGCTCATAATACTTTCTCTTCAAACTTATCAACAATATTCTTAATTGTAAGACATGATGTGGGTGTTTTATCAGAAAACCATAATCTAAATTTTCTCTTCACAGTAACAGGTGAATGCATTTCAATAAATTTCTGCATGATTTACACCTTTTGCTCTGTTTCCTGACTTATCAAACTTATCAGTTTGATAAGCCAGGAAGATCTCCTGATATTGGACTGCTAGTTTTTTATGGGGTTTCCTTAAAGAAAAGGTGTTCTCCACAAATCTACACATCACTGATAGACTCAAATGTTCTGCAGTTACATAGCTCAGAGGCATAACACACAAGACACTGGAGAATGTTATTGGATATACTGCTGTATGTTATAAAGCGATTATCCAAAAGAATGATGAACAGTTTGAACATGTTTCCCAAGACTAAAAAAAACTTACTGAGTTTGTCTATCATATGACATGTAATTTAATTTTCTACCTTAATAATGAAAATATAGGTCAATGAAATGTGAAACATTTTTTGTTGCCACCCTGTACTATACAATGAACTATATTACATTCAGTGATGAATAATAGTTCTTTTATTATTAGCATTTATCTGAGTTAGCTGATAAAATGAACACCCTGTACTTATTTGAAAGCTGTTGGATACAGAGTGGTGACTATGTTACCCAGTAGAATGGCAGTGTAATTTGCCACCATTGCCACAGCACCTATCTGAATTTGTCAAGAGGAAGGTGGTTGATCATTAGCCAATATTGTAATATTGGTTGGATACTTGGATCTGCTCACTGATAACGTAAATCCTACCGGCATGCCTCTCCCATGCAAATAGGATTTACATTGTGATCACTGTTGACCACCATACCTCATAGAAGTTTCATTAGATATTGGTTCATATGCATGCTTATAAGGCATTGGCCTTATTCCATCAAACCAAGACTGGGAAAGATTCTGTGCATAAGTAACATCCAGGTTTGGCAAGTGGGAAAGTGCCTCAACTTGGGTGTTTTATCTCCCTAGAATGAATTCTAAGGAAATCAAGACTAACCTGGCAGCATATTGATAGGAAGGAGAGATATGCATTGGAGGAGCTGGAACAAAGGCATCAGGTTGTGTTCCCATGGCAACTGGGGACATCCCTGGATTGTTTTCAAAGGCTGGAGGATTCTGCATCATTGGGGCAGGGCTACCCATCAGAAAAGTGTTCCCTGGTGCTACAGGAAAACATATAACCAGGAAATATCTGTTAACACTTTTGCTCCAGAGGGCTGATGACTAAGTTTATTTTCCAGTCTACCAAAAAATATATAACTTCAGAACACAAAATGATAGACTTGTTCTTTATTGGAAATTGAAGTATAAGTACTCTATTTTATTGTTCAGCATTATAAACATTTAAAATGATGTACAATTATGTCCACCATCATCCAATGGTAGTTCGGACTGGATGTACAGTCCGTCTGTTGGATCGAAAACGTTAAAACAGCAGTCATTTTTCAACAGAGCCTCTAGGAACACTGCCACATTTTGACTGGTGGTATATCAACTTCATGATTCCTGTTGTATCAGGTTGTAAAGGTGAAATTTAGACATTTCGATTTTATATATATATTGGCCTATTTAATAGGCCGCAACAAAGGTCAAAGGTGCCAAAGTCCAGATAGTGCCACAGATTTGGGACTACCTCCAACTGTAAGTCTTAAACCTACTGGGAAATTACTCTAGCATGTTGCAGCAAAATGCCCTGGTTCAATTGCCTATGTCACTAGTCACCAGTCCATCATACTATCCCTGACACTACTATTGAAGAAAGAAATCCAAATAAAGTGATTCAGGCAACTGCGAAAAGGCATTTTCCTTCAACAAGACAATGCTTGTACACATACACCACATAATAATGAATTGAAATAAGTGGTGCGAGAGTGGATATGGGGAAAACCAAAATATATTTTTGCTGCAGAAATAATGAAGTTGACTAGACTGGCAGACAAAGGTGTGTCAGTGTTACCAGAGATCATGTTGAAGAATAACAGAGACTTTCTTGACATTCAGCTTCAAGCCCACCAAGGAAAATGGATATGCACTTACTATAATTACCTTCCACTACCTCACTTCCTCTATGATCAATGTCTTACTAAACAGCTAAACACTGTACAAACTGGGTATCCAAGAAAGTATTAAATAATGTTTTTTGATCACACAGTTCTCCTATTGAAGGAAGGCAAAGTTTCTGTGGTGGTGTGTACAAAGTATATGACATATGGCAATTATCAACTATTTTTGTCAAGACAGATCTGAAAATGTACTCTTAAGATAAGTTCTGAAGAATATGACTGAACAAGTTACCATTTTCCCAAGATCACACATTAGAAAATAAATGCTATCCCAAGAACCACATGGCTTCAAATGAACTATAGCCCTAAAATGCTGTGCCTTTCAAAATTCATCATTCACCAGCAATAACCAGCATAATCATATCATTAATAATATCCAAAGCCATATGAACAGCGTGGTTTATATTAATGGTCTAGTTCAGGGGTGTGGAACATAGATTAAGCCTGCTGAGGTGGTTCATAAAACCCACCATCTGTTCTTGAAATTTCCACTTGGATTGACTGTCAGCACAAAATTCAGTGAAAAATTATGAGTGCAGCTCACAGACATCTACAGGGTAAGGAATGCAGCCCATCAACTAACTTGAGTTTGACACTCCTAGTCTAGTTTCAGGCCTGGCAGGTAAAGTTAGTACATTTACAGGCAACACAAAAATAGGTTTCACTGTGAACAGCAAGGAAGACAGGGCAAGAGCAGGGAGAGATTTGGGTTCTTGAGTGGAGTAAAAAATGGTTTATGAAGTTTAACAAGGGAAAAAGATTTTTCACGTCAGTTGTAATAATGATAGGTCACTGAAGGTGTTTGGCAAAGATGAATTGGGGGATGCAAACAGGGAAAGGGACTTCAAGGATAATGACTGATGAGGACCTCAAGTACTCCTCTATTTGTAAGTACTGTACCTAAGTGTAACATGATTTTAGATTTCGTCAGGCATTTCATTGGCACTAAGATCTGCATTATTCTTCAGTTGTATTCAGCATTAGATAGACCCCATTTAGAGTATTGCATTCAATTCTGGAGGTCTGCTAATAAAAGTGACTTAGTGGCACTCACAAAAGTTCAAAGGCAGGCTACGAAAATGACCAAGCATGAGCACAAACTCTAGGATAACAAGGGTAGACCTCATCATTAAGAGAACTGATAAGAAGTGCAATAAGTTTTTCCCATTGGATGGCAGTGTATGAAAAAAAAATTTTCCCCCAAACCCAAGGTGACAAATTGGAATTTCCTAGGAAATTTCCTAGCCTACTGGATAATAACAGCCAAACTAGGAGAAATCAGTTCAAATTGTGAAAGCCACAAATGAGACTTTGGTTGCAGCAGTGTAGGAAAAAATATTTTTCCACAAACCCAAGGCAACAAATTTGAATTTCCCAGGAAGGATATGCAAGCAGACTGAGCAGGTTGGCCTCCCGTGCATCTCCGTTCCCACAAACCTCACTTGCAGGTTTGCAAGGGTTTTCCTAGCCTGGGTTGCAGTATACATTTTTCACTTGTAGAGTGGTTAATGTGTGGAATATGTCAGATGATCATGTAATGGCTTCCCCTTCCATGACTATCTTTAAGATGAAGCTAGATGCCTTCATGGAAAAATAAAAAAAGGAAGCACGTGGCATTAAGTAGCTAGACAGGAGACAGTAGAGTGTAATGCTCCCACAAAAGTACGCATCTTTAAAACAGACTGCTGTATACTGCTTTAGCAGTACCCATTTCTTTCTGTAGCACTGTGTACAGCTATATCAGTATCCCAGTTTAATGAGTTTATATGGTCTATCATTGTACATTCAATGCTCTATTAATGTTTCTTATAGCATACTAATAATGTAAAAGGATGACTATTGCTATTGAATGACAGGGCAAATATACATATATATAAATTATGAAATAAATTATATATATCTGCTATATCGTTTTGTTGCTGCCAAAATGTCTAGAAAAAGACAGTCAGTTACAGAAGCCTTAGAAAGAATGAACATTATGTCAGACGATGAATTGTTTGAAGGGCCGCTGCAAACTTTTCTCTATAACACTGTGTGGTTTCAGTTTTGTGACTTTTGGGATTGTACATAAGAAAGCAAATAAGAAAGTTACATGTGAAAAATTTTACATATTACAATTTGTTCAGTGTTATTTTTCTAGTACTTTGTTCACAATTGATTACAATAATTTCTGTGGAATTGTTAACAACAGCATGCAAATGGCTTTAACTATATCAAACTCACCTTAGAAAAATAGGCCTATAAAAATAATTACATACAAATCATTTTGAAAATAAAATAAGTGCATGCAAAAAATGTGACATTTATGCATAGTGTACACGTAATAAAAGCATTAGTGGCGAATGTGTTAAGCTCAATGTGTCGGGATATTTTTAAACGAATGCTCGACCTCGACCTGGGATGTTGAAATGGGCAAAGATGCCTCCAGAAATCCCTACTTGAATTTTGAATCTGGAATCAGTCTATTTCAGCAACAATGCTTACAGTAGATAATTGTGGTTGTTGAGCTGAACCACTCATCATGAAGTGATGGCAAAACTTTGACATTTCTGAAGATGTATTTGCGTATGGTGGGGAACTGCTACACGAGTACCTGGATATATGGACATGGCCTGCCCTAATTTAGATATAACTAATACAAAATAAAATAGGCCTAAAGTTATAATATCACTGATTCTTGTCCTGGTCATGGGACTTAGTCATATTGCGGAAAGAACTTAAGAATTTGGACTAGGCTTACCAGGAAGCTGTGGAGGAACAGTCTGTGCGTTCGCCAGTTGAACGAGTGAAGACACTTCATCCTGACTAGTTCCCTTCCCGTCCACAATCTCAAAGGTGGATTCACCGTTTGAGTCCTCGCTCATCATGCCTCTTTCTTATGTTCCAGTTACACCTAGGCCAATGGATGGGCCTTACACTTGAACCTGGCCTTCGGTCTCGTTCGATCCAGTATTGGGCTTCACTGAGGTCTCTGAACGATACGTGGTACAGGGGGCAGACATTCTCGTTTGGTCAATCCCTGCGCTCCCCCAGTATGATCTTTACCGATGCTATTCGCGAGGAAGTAGGGCCTGACTACTCTTGCGAATGAATCGCGGAGTTCAAGTGACTCTGGTAGAAGTGTACCAGACTGCAAAGCTCATCGACAAAGTCGTTCAGCTATTGAGGTTAACCTTGGCAAAATGTGCCTAAGCTTTGCACGGGTACCATCAATGATTAGGGTTGCCACCCTTTCATAATTAGGATTGATGGTACATATTTCAGATACTGCAAACTGGTCTTAATATGGACTTTGTTGTTTTGTCCATATTATGAACTTGTTGAGATTTTTTTTATTAATAACGCTTAATTACAGCTAAAACGGCTCTTTTCCATAAGTCAAAAGCCGTAGGCCACACTCTCTTAGTATCAATTGGCGGCTTGGCTTAAGATGGTTCTGGGTATCTGTGGCATAGCTGCATGCACAAGTATGCTTCGAATACTTGGAGTATACCAGTTGCTCACTGGCCCCCTTATCTTCCTTCACGTTCCTCGGCTTCGTACCCACTCCCCCCTCCCCTCCCTCTCCGCCCACCTTTTCCTCCCCCTCCGCCTGTCGACCTGGCTCAAGCTGTCATTTTTTTAAATGTCTATATAAATGTCGAGATTTTGAGTCTAAGATAGAGGAAATTCATTTTTCTTCAACTTTGTTTCAATATGGACATACTTGTACACGGAGGGAGAGAAATGGAAATATCAAGAATTTGGTTTTTTTGTCAGAGCTCTGTCTCTGCAATTCTCACGATTTCACATGCAGGGAACAGAATCCGTTATCAATGAATGAACTCCAAATTAATCAAAATTGAATCTTCTCGATTGCTNCTACTCGCTGCGGATTTTTTTTTCTGAAAACGGGAGGACGATGACTCATGTAAGGTGTATATCACGTTCAGGTTAACGAATTTCCAGTTGCTTGTCCGCGCAGTGAAATCTGGGCTGAATCCCGAAATTAAATTTCCCCGAAAAACACATGCATGGTATGATCTATCAAATGTGTCTCTTTATTATGTAGGAGCATGGGGAAAATCCAGCCAGAGCTACCGGGGGCAAGAATGTCCACCAAATGCAAGAAGAAAAGATCCTGTCAACTGAATACCATCATGGATGACGTTCGAAGCATGAATGGGCGAATGAGAGATAGTCGTCTGATGCCCATCCTACCATTTCGTTTCGTATTCTTTGTTATTCTTAAGTGATTTCATGCAGTGCAAATAGATTGTAAGGAATAGTCAAAACTTGTATTGTCTTTTGATTCCACCGCATGCGTAATACGAAAGGCGAGGCATAGAAGTATTTGTCTTAGGACACGTCTTTTGAACATTGCATTTTGGAATGGAAATAAAAAATAAGAATATTTTCTAGTTTCTTTTCTTAATGTCGGAATTCTATGTGACGAAAATCCATGATTCTAACATGGAATACGTAAAAATACTATTAAGAAAAAGCCAAATACTTCACAAATAGGGTGAAAATTCTCCTGCCTGGGGTCTCAAGATTCCCCGTCCGTTTGAAAATTACGGTTTCTTGACCCTTCCAAGATTAGCCGGTATTTTTCCGAGTCTGGCAGGAATTAGGCATTTCCCCTCTTTAATGTAAAACCGGTTTTCCCCTAATAAGAGGAATCACACTCTAGCGTACCTGGCGGATTTTCCCCCTTTGAACTGTAGGAGGAGATTCCGAGTTTTAACCGAAAATTCCCTTATTTATGTGATTATCTTCTTACCCATAGACCTGTAAACTCACATTCCCTCTCTTCCCGGACTCACCAGTTTCTTGCTCTTCGTGTAAATCTTACTGTTCACCAATAAGCGGAATTATCCTTTTCCACCATGGCATCGTAAATGTCATTTTACGATCACAAGCCGGCAGCAATGTTTCCAACCTCTTGGTTGTAAATTTACGGAATTTTTTTTTACAGTGTAGAATTGTGACACCAGTATATTTTGTTTTGTTTTGTGTTTGTACTGACGGGCCGAATCAAGGGTCATTTCATTTCATTTCATAAGCTGCGACTCCAATTCGCGAATTTAGGGCTCCCGTTCAAGAGAATAGAGACTGAGTTGTCGTAGCTATTCTACACGTTTTCGTGGTTCGTACCGCGGAGATAAGCTTGAGGATGTGAGGCGGTGAACCATTCAACGGGAGAGTTCCTCTCGGTTCCTCTCCTATCATCATTCTTCCACGTGGCTGCAAAAGTGTCCGCAAGGAAGTTCCCTAGGGAACCGGAAGGTCCTTTGTTTCTCTTTCTGTAGATTGGAAATCGGCCTACATTCCTCGGCAAATGATTTTTCTTAGAACTCATCGGAAGTTCCGGTACTTCTACGTTTTTCCTCTCTTCCTCGACTCCTTCGTATTTACGATTCCTTCGGAATCGTGCAAAATTTGATTCACGATCGTGAATCGTGTAAAATTGATACACAAGTTCGCCATCCTCGTGCGTATAGATGGCAGTGGAGATAGATTCCGGGAACATGAACACGAACGCGTAAATCGCTGTCGGATCAGGGAAGAAGATATGGAAGCTACGCAGGAGGAGACCTGGAGGCTCGGAATACGGGTCGTATGGCCTCCTCACGAGACGACAACTGAGCTTGTATGAGACTGCCGAGGGGATAGAAGGGGTGCGTAACTTCTGTACTTCTGACAAGGCTGGATAGATTTGGCAACGTGACATGAAGTCGTCCCCAATGGGTTCTAGTGTTCGCAAAATTCGCATTGCTGGGAATCTGCTAGCTCGGAAGCAAACGGTATTTTCACTCTTCGAGGGAGGCAGGGTAGAGAAAATGAAGCGTCTAAGAAGAACGTGTTCAAGACGATTTGTCAACCCTTTAAATGCCAAGGTTTTTTGGGGTATACCCTAACCGAGTATATTTCAGGCTTTTGTCTATTTTAAGAGAGATGGTACTAATTTGAATTATCCACATTCCCCCTAGAAGGTTATGAATTGTTGTCAGATGAGCGCTCGTAAGTTCTCGCCGGCCGACCACTTCTGTCTCTCACACATCCGAACTTCCATGTTGTAATGAATCCCATCATCAGTTCAACTAATTTCACGTTAGTGTCCATCGTTAACAGGGAAAGGACGGTTCCCGATTCATTGAACGATTCATCCCAAACTCGTCGGAAAAAAAAAATTCTATAACGTTACAGCGCCACAGCCCCGAAATTTCTCAAAGAACTAGAATGTTTGTCAGTGCGATCACCGGCCAACCATCATGGTCTCGTCACGCAATTCATCAAAAGCGATGGCAGCGCTCCTAATCAAGATTTAATTGATCCTCCTCAAATAGTGGAGGGGTGGAAAATTAGACGAAATATTGGCTCAAGATCTCAAGATAAAAAAAAGAAGCATTCAAGCAAAGGGATGGCTTAATTCTTTTATGGGCCCTGTGTTAAAAATACGGGGGCGTGCGCCCCCCTATTAAATTTAGAAATAAAACAGCAACAAAGAAATTGATCACTTGGGAGGGGTTAGCGGTGAACGAACCCGGTCTGGACAATGTGGGGAGCTTTTGCGAGAGCCATGCTTTTCTCCTGTGCCCAGCCGACCACATTGTCGTGACATTTGCATTGCCTGATAAGCAGTGATAATTTTACTGAAGTACACTACGGTGCTTGGGCCTACCTCTATTATTGAATTGAATTGTAATTGCTTTTAATTCAATGGATTCTGGTCGTCAGACACCTCGCAAAAATTACAGCCCAAGATAATACAACAAAACAAAGCAAAGACTATGTACTAGGTCAATGATAAAAGTCTCTTTTAGACAGAAATACATACAAAAAAAGATTTTTGAAACTTGGATGCGTTGGCTTTGGGATGGCGAATACAATTTCTGGTAACGGGACCAATATTACACATTATCTACCGCATTAGAACTTCTCTCTACAAATTAAACCCTGTCTTTTATTGGCGTCACGAGAAGCACTACTAATGTGACCATCATTTGTGCTGATGGGCAGATAATTTTTTTCTGACGTTAGAAACAGAGTGATATTTTTCAGTGGCCGGTCGACGGTACCATGTCAGAACATCGACGACAAAACATCGACAAGATGAAACATCAACGTGACAAAACATCAACGTGACAAAACATCGACGTGACAAAACATCGACGTGACAAAACATCGACGTGACAAAACATCGACGTGACAAAACATTGACGAAATGAAACGTCGACACCGACGTTTACCAATTTAATTACCAATTACCAATTTAATTTTCTCTGTTGTTTTTTGAGACCGCTAATATTACATAACTTCCAAAGGGCCTTGCTGCTATTGTCTATCAATCCAGGATGACCGATGGAATACAGGTTGAGGATGGCATCGTGGCTTCGGCAAACATCTAGCGGCAAATTATCCTTCCATCTGGAAGTTTATTAATTGCATCAAGAATGAACTTAGGATGAAATAGAATATTGCATGACAAGTCCCTCCTCCGAGCCGCAAAATTAATCGTCAATGCTCTCTCCGAATAAACTCTATTGCATTGGATTATCAGTAGCGACCATTCAAAGACCATACAAGGGATTGCACATAATTTCAATCTCCAGGTGTAATGCTGATCTGCTGAAGTGTACCTGCAATGACAGGCTCCTCTTTTAAATATGTTCTTTTGTTCTCATCGTTTACAAAGTGTGATACGTTATTCTAACTCTTTATTCTTTTCATTTCGCCTCTATTGACGTGGTTTGAATTCCTTTCAATTTAATGTGCAAGTATCAATAAAATGTAAAAAAAATTAGGTATTTTCATTAAAATACGAGGGGTGTTCGAAAAGTAATAGGAATTTTGAATTTTTTCCCAATCAACATATTTATTCATCATTATTTACACTTAACTTTTCAATATAATCACCCTGGAGTGCAATACACTTTTTCCAACGAGAGACTAACTTCCTAAGGCCATCATTAAAGAATTCCTTTGGTGTGCTTTTAGTCCAACGTTCTACCGCATCCTTGACCTCTTGTAGAGAAGAAAAACGCTTGCCCCGAAGTGGTTTCTTCAGTTCCGGGAATAGGTGGTAATCACTTGGAGCCAAATCAGGAGAGTAGGGTGGGTGAGGCAGCAACTCCCATCGCAGATCGGCTATAGCATCAATAGTTCGTCTTGCAGTATGGGGCCTGGCATCGTCTTGCTGCAGTAATGGTCGTGCGTGGAGC